TATTATTGTTTTTTCTATCAAAAAATAGGTTTATTAAAAGAAAATTACATGGATTCTTATTTATGCATCTACTTAAATATGTTTGTTTTGTTATTAATTTTTTACGGGAATATTTTTTATAAAACTTCTGTTACAACGGACTTGCAGTTATCTTTTAAGTAGCTTTAAAATGTTTATATCGAATTTAGATTTATTTAGCATTAACGAACTACATTATAGCATTGATTAAATATACTAGTATAATATAGTATATTTAACCATTGATTATAGTTTATAATTCACATTTCGCTACAACAAATGATTTATGAAAACCACAATGAAAAGTGTCTACTCGACAGCTTTGGTGATTATTATTATTTATGTTTTATAATTTCCTAGTGTATCGTTTGTTTGAATTATTAGAATACGTTAAGAAATCACGGCGAGAATTTATGTCAATATGGAGATGAGTTTTGAAATATAAATTCTAGTATTATAACTTTTTTTGCACAAGGTTAGGATTTTTTCTCTCTTTCTCAAACGGCTCAACACAGCCTTGTTCTCGGCCCGGTATCTTGTTCTATTGGAGGCCACTCGGTGTTCATGGATATAAGAATAGGAAATCCTTGATCTTGTATTTGCTACGCAAAACTACCGTGCACAGGCCGCGCCATATTGAATGTCGCCCATGCCAGCTGCTGGTTCGCTCCTCCGAATTTCTCGATAATTGGCTCTGAAACACCGCAAGAAGGATCTTCGCGAATCCTTATTTTTCCCACCGCAGCGTTTGCCTACGGATTACATCGCTCGAATATACCGTTCACTTCCGCGTAAGAGTTTGTGTGGACTGTGCAGTGGAGTATACCTAACTGTTTTAGAGTGTGCGTGATTGTTATCACGCGCTCGTGCGATTTTCTCCGCGACTATTGGTTACCAAAATACGTTTACACGTCTTAATTTCTAATTGTGACCACCGTCCACGAAAAAATTAAAAAACGACAAACCGTTTTAAAAATTATATTATTTTTCACAAATAACACGGCTTCATCAAGTATAAAAGATTTGAACGGTCGTGCACATTGGCTCGAATGTTTTGGAATCACATTAAAGACAAAACATAACAATTTATATAATAATCACGTTCATATATTATTATATTCGCTTATCTGTAAAGCAAATATTTAATAAAATCTTTATAATTTAAACTCTGTACTCAGTTTTATTATTATAATTCGGCCATTTGATTCATTCACCGGGAGCATTGGAGCATTTAAAACACAGATTAATATGCCTAAAATCTATAACAGCAGTCACAATGAAAACCGAAGGATGTTTTATATCTATTGGACGACATTTTTTAAACTGTTCTACGTACACAATTCGATTCATGTATTGCGATTTGTAGCCTTGTCTGTAGTATAATAGGTGATTTTTAGTCAGTTTCTAAGCCTCAAAACAGTGAAGCTTCTTGTTTAAAACAAACAGAAATGTATTATTCACATTATCGGGTATTCAGTCGATACCCAGACATACAATTAATACAGGACCACCGGTACAACCTACCTATACAAATTGTAACTGTCTAATATTTATATATTTTGCAATACGATGATGGTGGATTTTTAATAATAAAAATGTGAACTATTGCTGCATAATCCCAAAAAAACCACGTGGTTATAGTCATGTTTTTTTTTTAGATTATATTATTACATTATTCTCGTTTCTTTCACTTTCACATACGAAAAACATTCGCGCGTGCCAAACCGTCGCGGGTCTATAAATAAAACAAGTACAATATTAATATATATATTATAATTATATTATAAACACTTTGTGGACCATAGTGGGTATATATACATGTATACGTACCAATATGTACATATTGGCAATGTAAATTTTCAATTAACTCGTCTTAAAACCGGATGCGTGTTTCAAATGCATTCAGAGGGTGTCCAAATTGTTGGTAAACGAGATATGCGTAAAGAAGTTTCTCTAAAAACGGTACACCAAAGGAAAGGCGAACTGGTCTAACGAGATATCGTGTTTGCACTTCGCAGTAGAGAGTGCAAGTGTATGTATCCAGCTGAACATGTCGTGACGATTTGCCCACGTTATTTAGCCGCACTTAATACACGCTGGCACGCCGAACAAAACTGAAAAATATAATAATAAATATTGAGCGCGATAGTCTTAAAGCACAACTGAATAATATGACCGAAATACGGTATATATACCTAAATAGAGGTATACAGCTGTAGTATAATAATACGGATACCTGCGACTTACAGACTATATTGTTACCGTATTTTTTTTATGGTGCTTTAGAAAAAATGCGTTTGTTTTTGGAATACATAATTCCAACATTATACAGCTTGACAAAGCTATAATAGTGTCCATAGTATTTATAGTTTCTTATATTTTACAAGGACAATATTGGCTATTTACCTATACGCAGCTAACAGAAAATACATAAAAACTCGTTAAACAACCGTCAACACCATATGTGAATTGACATTAGAACATAAACAAAACATAACATGGCGGACAAAAATAAACACCTTACAAAATTCAATGTAGTAATTATTATTATGTGTTCCCATAAACTGGAATTGTAAATTCGTGTAACGGTCCGCACTCCATTCTTTCGACGATACGTCGATAGACGTACCACCGTTTTACCACCGGTTTAAACTTGGTTAATTTGTAAGAGTTGAAAAATAATTTCACTTTTTAAATAATTTAAACATTTTTAATGATGAGATTGACGAAGGAAAATTAATGATTGCTTCACATTGCTAAATGTTATAACAATTTTATTTAAAAGCATATCATATTTGGTAACGGTTATGGCGGGTTATTACTTTTTATTAATATTACGCCATTTATGACAAATGTAATGTACTTAATAAACGTCTTCTAATTTCTTTCAAACATAATTACTTGATCGATTCCATGATTCCATGTATTTTATGCGTGTGCACGGGAAACTATTGAACCGTTGTAGTAATTGAGTCATGTATATTGATGTAGGTGATGTTCAAATGTAAAATTAGGTTAGGTTTATCGTTTATCCAAATCAAAACATTAATATTATTATTATTATTATTATTATTATTACACTCTGACAATCTGGTTAACTATACAAATATTTCATAATTATATTTGTTATTATTTATAAGCAATACAATGTCTTGTATAAATGAAACTGTTTCAACTTATCTCAACATAATATTGCATTATTTCATTTATTAGCACAATGTTTTTTTGAATGAATGTGCGTAAAATTACTATAATATACTACTACCGATAACGTCATATTAAAGTCAGTATAAACGTAAATCATATTTGTCGAATTTTCCATTGAACTTTGATATACTTACATATATTTCATTTACATTATAAATATAATTGTTGTTGCTAATGTAAAAGACCTTCATGAAGTTATCGCCATAAAAAAAAAATAAACTTAATTCGTAAAATATTTAAGTTATTAAAAATATTTTATTTTACATAATTTAGTCATTTCAAACAATTTTTTGAAAAAAATTATATTTTTAAACGTTACTGTTCCTAAATTGTTTACTTTTCTGAGTAATCGTATAGATTTTTCATTTCTTATCCCGAAACAGAATATTCTTCTGAGAATTTTCAAGTATAACAATTACATTTCGAACTAGCATATTCAATTAGTTAATTTTTAATGTTTAGATATTAAGTAGTATACTGTAGTGGCACAGGACTATCCAGAAAAATATTGCTCCTCTATTTCTTCAATCTAAACTTTAAATACTCAATAATTATAACTACTCAATTGAAATTTGATTTTTATCTATGAAAATAATCAAAAAAATATTTTGCTTCACAAAACATACTTTTTCAAAAACATAATACTTTTCGTGATATTGAAAGTTAACAGTTCAAACAATCATCCTATAGACACTATATTTATTTTTAATCCAAAACTATGATTAATTGTTTAATTTTTTTTTTTATTTGTCACTCTATGTCCTAAGAGTAATGTAATATAAAATAGGTATATGTGTTATATTATAGTATAATAAATAATAGCTATACATTTTATATATACTTTATGCCTATATTAATATATTATTATGTCGGAAATGAAGAGAATTATTTAAAAATATTAAACGAGTAGTGCAAAAAGAATTTTATATTATAATATATTGATATATAACATGCTATTGAACCGAAATTAGTATTTTGTTGTGTTAGATTAAATTTTAATAATGATAGTTAAAAATGTATTGCATGCATGGAAATATAAAAATTGCCAGGATTATAGATTATTGATTTTTAGTCCATTTTAATTTAATAAATAGATGTTATGTAAACGTAAAAAGTATGATATTTATTAATGTATCTATACTACCTATACTATACTTAAGTAGTTGAATGAGATTCTTGAAAAAAAAATTAATTTTATTAGATAGCTAATTTATATTAATCAAAGACACAATTTTAAAAAAAATCAACTGTCCTTGAACTATGAAGTGTGGTTATGATCGTAATAAGTAATAACTAATAATTTTTTGGATATTCGTTTAATCGTATAAAACTATAATGGTGTCTGCCATTACTACTGCATAATATGTTGGCTATAATATATACTGCAGCTCACATAATATTATGAACCCAACGGAAACAATATCGTATATTAAATTGGACACAATAGCATCGACGGCCGTTCGAAATTCAAATTGACGATTAAGAAAGGAAAGGTCCGGATATGGATGGTGGACAAATGTAAATTTGGGAACGATTTATACGTACATAATATGTACATTTTTTTCCTACATATTATTATTATTATTATTATTATTTTTTTTTTATTATTATTATTATTATCATCATTATTATCGTTATTATTATTTATGAGAAGCAGATAAGGAACGAAATTGATATGATAATGTTTGGTGAGAAGCCGCGTGGAGAGGGTCACCGTGGTTCCGCAGTTGTGGGGGACCGTGCGGTGCGAGCGCCAAGACGGTACCGGCGGCGTCGTGACTGCCAGTCAGCGCCGGTGCTGCGTGCCGAGATCAGTTCCCCCGAGAACACGCGTGCCCCCGTCGGTAGTCGAAGCACAGTAAAGCTTAAACGTTTCCAGAAAAATTTTATAAAAGACGATTTCGTTTTTGTTGTTATTTTATTTTTTCGAAATTTGTTTTTAAGCCGTTTTTTACGTGATCATGCTGTGATTGGACGTTCGAATTCCGACGGATTTTTTTACGGTTATTGAGAAATTATTGTTTTTTAAGTCTCGGCAAAGTCCTCCTTGTCCACCGAAAAATATCGTACTTATCGTTTTCACGCTCGTAATTTTTTTTCGATTTTTTTTTACTTATTATTATTATTTCGCGTATATTTTAAATCAAAAATGTACGAAGCAAAGTGTATTGTAATGGACTACCAGCACCATAATGCTCAACTGCAGGCGCAGACACAGCAACACCTACAGCAACTCCAATCGTTAGCTCCGGATTCAACCAGATGGAATCAGTATCAACAGTTTTGGCGACATCAGATGCTAATGAATGGTATTAAATGTTTTTATACGAACAATTATTATATACTTTATTTTGCGTTTTCTACAACTGCTGGACAGGTGTAACGTATTAAATTCCCAATGTTTATACTAATACTTACATATCGCAGTCAAACGAAACGAAGCGTTTCTGAATTCGTGATTTTCAATATCTACGTCGAATATCTACATACATTAATTTATTATAATTATTATAAATAATGTTCCCATATAATATATGTATAATAAGTCTTATACTTAATCATTGGGCGGAAAAAAATTCCGCCCGAATATTGAATATTAAAAATCACTATTTAAATATATTTTCTAAAAAATACCAACAAATAATTGATTTAGTTATAATTTTTAACGTATTCGTGTAAATTAGGTGCTAAGTCAAAGTTCAATGTATATCTTACTCTATTTATTTATTTAATTTTTTAAATATAACGTAATAAAGAAACCTAATTTATTTTCTTCCTAAATATGAAGCATATATTTCTTAAGCATTTTCATCACAGATGAGAGAAAAATAAAGTTAATTCCAATAGTGTTAAATTAATGATGATTTAAGTATATTATATTATTATTATTATTATTATTATTATTATATATCGGTGGACAAGTTTGTGTGATCACGTACACAACATTTCAAACCTCAAGGTGACATTTTTAAGGGTTAAACATAACAAATTTACCAAAGGTCGACAGTGCGATAAGTTATCGTTTGCGTAACAAAAAAATATTTTTGTTGGTGTACAATTTGATTATTTATCTATCAGCAAATATAGATTTTTTTTTCATATTGCTGGTAACATTAGGTAACGCATCAAACGTATATTTTTTTGTATATTTTTTTCCAAAGCTATAATCCAATAATGTTATCAACGTAAATAGCTCTGAAAAAATGAAACCATAATCATTACGGTTACTATAAACAATATACGTTTACTATAAAAGAAAAAAAACGAAAAAGAACCGGTGAGTTTCTTTCGCAATGAAATGAAACAGATGATAATATTGTCTTGTCACATTTTGAATACCCAAAAGTGAAATGTATGTAGAAACGACCTTGAAAGAGACGCACACCACTTTCTATTCGATTCTCGAGCGCACACGTGATTAAGCTTTCATAATGAACAACAATACATTTGGGTCATTACAAATGATTTTCTTCTCTTCTACAACCCCTACTCACTGTGTTATTTATTGTACGTCCGTGTACACCGTAGAGGCAATAATATATTAATATCATTGTACGCCGCGACAAATTTATTGAGATTCAAGTGAATTATCCATGAACGAATGCGAGCAGTACATTTCCCGCTGCAGCTAAACTGAATATATGAAAGTAAACACGTCTTATTCACTATTTGTGTAGGTACACTTATCGCCTTAAAAACGAATAAATAGTAACGTACAGAGTGTCATATTATCTCGGCTAACGAAATTTATTGTAATTTATCTTTGAATTACATTTACTGAAGTTTCTAATCCGTTCGGTGTTTACATTGTTCGAGATTATTAAATAGATATCACTTGTGATCATAAAAAAAAAGGAATATAGTAATAACAATAAGCACTTAATGCGTTCGCCATGTTAATGTAATAAAACATAATTTTTTTTCCCCATTCCCTGCATAAAAAATATTCACTCCTTCTAAGTGACACGTGCAGCTGTTTAGTTTTATTTGTTCTAAATCCGTTGGACTTTCTGCTGACAAATATTCTACGATGTGCCATTTAACAGAAAATATACATATATACACACACGGTATATGCACGCACTTTCAATTTCAATGGTCAGCTAATTACTTTTGTATAATACATAATATGCACATGAGAACGTCCTTAACGAATCTTAATGAGTGAAATTCGAAAGTTTTATAATCATCATTAATTGATAGCAGGGATTTTAGGACGTTAATCAATTTATTTATTATTACACAATATACATTTTATGATGTACGCGCACGCGTTATTCTTTCGATGTGTTTTTTTATTCATATGCTTTTCACACCTTTGTCTGGCCAATAAATGAAAACAGAAAGCGATATTGAACACTGCAGCAGCGACAACAAAAGCAAACCTATTACCTATATAATATATCCGCTCACGTCAGAACGCGTATAGAATAAACATTGTAATGTATAGATATATATGTGTATGTGTGTGTGTGTGTGTGTATGTGTGTTGATGAGTGTTCACATATGATTTTTTTGATTTTTATCCTCCTGACGACTCAGACGAAACTATTTCAACGAAGACGATAATATTATATTATTATCGATAAGAGTTTTTGGAGACTTTAACGATAGACCACAAATGCGAAAATATGGTTGAAAAGTATATTATTATTATGCGGTTATTTTTTTGTATTTGTAGTCACGTGCAGAAATAACGTTAAATTCGAACAGTATTCCGCTATAGTCGTATATACTGCACGCCGAGGAGCCAGCCGACTGTATTATCCACTTTCACTTGCGCTCCGCTCCGTTATTTCCGGGGTAGCCTTGTTCGACCGGTTAGCGCCTTAAAGAAAGAAAGAAAAAAAAACAAATCAACGACGTGGGCATAGAATAAACTACATTTTTTTTTTCATTTCGTTTGTTTTCTCAAGATCGATATTACTGGAATAGAAATTATAAATTACTGCTCGACGATATACAACGAGTATGTAAACACGAAGTTATATTAAATATTTTATCGTTGTAGTACTATAAATAATAGGTACTCACATTGTGTGTGATTTTTCTCTTATTATGTTATTTAACGAATTTGTCGAAAGTGTATTGAAACAACTGATGTACAACACATATTTTACAGTTAACTATAACTAAATAGGTCCATTAAAATTAATATTGAAGAATTAAGTTAGTACCTATATATATGTACCTACATCTAATGTATTGACTATAATTGGCCAGATGAAAGTGAGCTGATGCAGAGAGACGCTCGTATCAACTAAAGCATAATATTTTAGTGATAAACCTGTGTTAATCTATTCTATTATTTTCATTCGATCAGAGTTTAAATTCAATTATAATAATATTATGTATGCCTAGATTTCGTTTTGAACTTCGGTCGTCAATCATTTTTTAAACTTTTCGGACGTGCTGCAATCATTAAATTAAATTTTGTTACAAAGCCCGAGCATTCAAAAGGCTCCTCTATAATACTCGCCTGTCGATATGTATAGATGGCAAAATACTCATCTATATTTTTCGATACATTGTAGGCAGTGTGTGTGTACTATGCACATATAGGTATATTACAATATCGGGATAATGCTGCACGCGCGGGCAGCGTGAAATAATAATATTTATAGCTGCCCTGGTGGTGCAGTATAATAATAATATTATGCCTATTATACGATTTCCCCTGTCGCGACCAACACGCAAACGCAGTCACTTTTTAATAATAATAAAAATAATACACTTAAAATATTCGTCTCTCTATATACATTATCCGACGACGTCGTCATAATATACGTCGAGATTCGATCGTGCCCGTTTACATATACATATTAATAATATTATAATATATATATATATATGTGTGTGTGTGTGTGTATGCATATACATTTACTTAGAAATGGCCGCCCACCACGGACCTGCAGCACCGTCTGTGATATTGACAATTCCGTCGCCGCAGAAGTGAAAGTGTTTTTATTAATTTTTTTTTTTTCGTCTATAAATAATATGTGTATTTTATATATTTCGTTTATGCACGCGCTCCGGTCCGTCCGTTAGCGTATTTACGCACACACCACGCACACACACGCTAAAACATTATATTATTATTATACATCGTATCCCCTCGGACGTCCGGTCGTAAATCGGCGTGTGTATTCGAAAACTCTCACTTTCTTCGCTTTATCTGTGTGCCCACGCGCGAAAACCAGAGCGCGAATCCCACCGTCCGGCGGACAGTTCGGTCCGGTCGGTATAAATGATAACGGTACAAAATAAAAAATAATAATAATAATGTTTAGGTATAACTATACTCGCTATAAATTGTCGGAGGTTCGCTCCGGTGGGGCCGCCAGGCGGACGGGCGGTTGAGTAATATCTATTAAAACTCGCAAATAATAACGGGACGCGCGTTTTTTAATCGGTCGGCACAGTGGGGCGAGGGGAAGGTGACGGTGAAAGACGTTCGCTCGGTCGGTCTTGGTACGTTGGTCACACTATACCGCACGCGATGGTGTGGCGCGACGGGTGAAAGTGAGATGGGAACCACTTTCGCCGGGAAATACCCGCTTGACGACGCCGACGCAACCGGTGTCCTTCCGGAATCCACGCCGCCGCCGCCGCCGCCGCCGCCTTGCGTGATTCGTTTTTATTTTTTCCAATCTCCTACCGAGCCCGGAATCGTTATTAACAGTTTTTTTTTTCACTGCCGTCTGCAAAAATAGAAAACACAACGGTAAAATAATTGCCACGCGGACCGGCAGACAGCTATTATAGGCCTCGACCGACGTTATAATACCAATAATATACCAACTCTCGTTGTATGCTTTATATTACCTATGTACATTGTACATAAAACAGTTACTATATTTTTTAAATACCCTTCTCTGTACGAATGTCTTACTTGGTGAATAGTTTTAGATACTTTTGGGAAATTTAAATGCAATTGTGCTTTGTTCACATTGAATTTGTACAGTATATCACCACTGTAATGGGTGTCGGGCTTGATGTTGAGTACGATTTTCTGCTGGTATAATGTAATATTAATGGCCAATTGATAGGTACCTACTATAATACTGTAATCTAATAATAAGTACACGCTACCAAATTGAAAATAGGTATGTTACTAACATATTTTTTTTTTTTAATAATTAGTACAAAAATTAGGTTTAAATATTGGGACGCCTCAAAGTTCTCCTGACAATTAATATTCTAATTTGCACCAGCAACAAATAACAATGTTAGTTACTTACAAATATCGTATTGTGATACATATACAGAGGTGCAGTGTAATAATAATGACAAGGATAAGAACATGTTTTTTTCACAGAGGGTGGCTGAACATTATATTTTTAGAGTATGTGTTTAAATGGGTGTGCTAACTGCCCTTGCCGATAATATTATATTTTATATGATTTTTTTGCTGTCGTCTGACGTCCAAACGATATTACAGTGTTGTGCTATTAAATTGTATATATATTACTGCACAATTTGAATTATTTATTCATTTTAATGTAATTAAAACTAATATAACTACTTGTATTGTTATTAACGACGTATTTATTTTGGCATTTTAACGACCAAGACGTATAAAATATATACACACGCGATAACAATAGTTAATAACTAATGAGTAATATTGTGCTTAATAGTTATAATATTATGTTGACGACCTGACATGTACTCATATCGTGTATAGACAGACTTTCGTACGAAATTATTTGATATTTGGTTTCTATATTTCTATCTATTTAAGGAAATTATAATAAATAACTATTTTTATTTATTTATAATAGGTTAACATTGGTTAATAACTAACTTACTGGTTTCATTCTTGTCTAAGATGTCCTGTAAACTAAAATGTATCGGTCAATAGTAATGTAATCTTGTACCCCACACGATTTCGATTCTGAAATATAAGCTTGAAATTTTCTAGAAAATAATGAACTACCAAAAAAAAATTAGTTGACTAGAAAACGAATCAGTCATGTACCGAAACTGGTGTTGATAAATGAGTGAAACGATATTCGTCATCCAAATTCCTGGCGAATTCAATATTTTGCGTTACAAGTAGTATCTGTGTTCGTCGTGTATGATTTCAAACTGGTTTTGGATTTTTTTCGAAACGAAAAAAATAAAGATGAGAGAAAGCCAAAAACCCATTGTTGACGGGCCAACGGATAATTTTATACTTCCAGTTAACGCGAAAAAAATATATAAAAAATATTTAATGATGATAATAGTAGCGAAGTAGTTAAGTTCTTCGGGCCGAACGACTTGCTCTTCTGCTGATGTTGCGCAATCGGAATAATAATATTATATATCCGGACTCTCGAGCAGCACTTTCACTTCACGCAAACTGCCGCCGACGTCGTAGTCTGCGAGCACGGCATATAATCACATTATACTATAATAATAATGCACGCCGCCGTTATACCGCTACTATTAATGAACACTGCGAATCAGATAAAAAAAATAAAAAAACGTAATACGTGTTCGCGGACGATATATTTTATTTTTCAGAAGAAACGCGCCCGACCGTTTCCGACCGGCTTTATCTAGACGGATTATCAGCAAATAATATATTAGACAAATTAATGGAATTTGAATTTTCACACACGTTTTGACGCGATAATCTCAAAATTTTGCGCACACGCGTCGACTCCAACGAAATCTACTTTGAATAGAAAGTTTAAAATGGCCCGTGGGATATAATATTAAAAACAGAATAATAAACGAGTAAACGTGTAACGGTTGAAATTATTTGTGAAATGTATTATTATCGTTTGTATAATGTTATTAATTATTATATATGTACTAATAATAAGGTAAGTACCGTTATAAACAGTACTTTTGTGACTACGTTTTCATACACCACCGTGTATTAATAGGACCCTTTAAAAAATACTGAACGACTTTGCTAAATATCTAAATATGTTAAACTTATCGTGCAGAATATATGTTATTCAGTTACATATTATTGTTATCATCGTCTAAACTAGTTTTTGTTAATATCATTTACCTAATACCTATATCACTTTCAATTATACCTACGCATGCCAGTTTCGTGAAATGAAAAATTATATTTGTAATTTTGAATGTTATCTAGGATCTAGATAATCTTATAAACATTTTTCAATATGCGTTTAAGTTGCGACGATTTTTTTTTTTTTGGTTATCGAAAAATGTACAAGCCAGTGACGACAGTCACTTGTGCATTCCTTATATAGGTGCAATATTTTATAACATTACTGCTATTGTCTTTATGGGTAATTAGTAATTGCCGAGTAAATAAAACACAGTGATATACAACCATTTTTACTATAAAGAATAAAGATTATTAATGATTATAAGATATTGTATTTTAATAGTAATATTGCACACCTAAATCTTTCAACAGCTGCACTGCTCAATAATGTTAAAAAATGATTGATAAATCCACCGTCTACCTTTGTGGTGTAAATATTAAAATGAGTTTAACTTATACATCAAATTGAAACAAAATAATCGAATAAATTTATTATGTGTGTAGATAATTATGATAATTTATGTATAATAAAATCATTCATATATCAGTTATACGTCGAATCTATTTAGTTATACAGTCATCTCAGTCATAGTTCAACACTGATAAAATATAAAGTAATGCATAATTTCTGAATAAACTATTTTTTTGTATAGATGGAGTCTGAATAATGATTATCTATATTTAATATTATTTTGTACACATAATTATATTATATTACTAGGCCTTGTATAATTATTACGATATAAACGTGTACAATAAAACACTAGCAAATGAATGAGTGTATTAACCATATAAATAATTTTAGACAGTTAAACGTGATATCATAAGTGGTGTCTGGGGGTATACTTCTCGAGTGTTTTTTTTAGCATTTACTATAAGTAAAATAATATTATATACCTATATATTATAGGTAAAATATGTATGCAATATGAACTATTAAGTTACAAAAATAATAAGTACTTATGTACAATATCGTATTCAAGTTTACTGGTAGGTTAGCCAGTCGACGAATAGAGCAATGAAAGATTATGAACACGCCACAGTATTTTAGTTTATTGTATCTCAAAAATATTTTTTTCTTCACAATAAATCAACTTAAAGTGAATAATGTATCATTTCTCCAGCAATAAATGTCCGGATATTCGGAAAACACGAGTAGTCATAGGCAATGCTCGTACGTAGTTTTGATTTTTTTGAGGGTAAATCGAACGTCAACCGCGAATTACACACTCACACTTACTCGCATATTATAATGTACATACCGAGAGTCAGTTAGTGTTTTGATAGAGGGAGGGGGGAAAAGAGACAGACGAATCGGACAAGCGCAGATTGATGTCTGAGAGATGAAGACGAAAGTGAAAACGAATCGTAATGGAAGAAAAAACGTGTCAAATCTGTTACGGCTTCCTACTTCCTGCATTACGAAACGATCGCAACTGTAAATGTAAAGGTATAATACCTACTCTTCTTTGGTACCGCGGTAGCGGTGCAATTATCAGACCGGTAAATGTAGGTTTGTCCGCCGTCTCTCTTCGGTTCTGTGAATATTTTCGCACAATTGTATATTGTTGGTATACACATGTATAATAGTAATATGTATACTTCTTGTTATTATTGCATTGTACCAAAACCAAAGCGCGTGTGTCTTGTTAACTTTTTTTCATTTATTTATTTTTTTTATGCAAGAACGTTTTTTGATGGCTTGGCCTGCGGTCGTTAGTGGTTTTAATCTTTTATTTTCTTTTTTTTTTTTAATCGGCAAGGACGGTGGTTTTTTTTTAGATGTTGTCGTCTTATGATAAAAAATAAACAAATACACACATACATTATACCAACTCTAAATAACCGAACTAATCTCGAACGGAAAAAACGAATCATCTAAAATATGTATTCAAGATTAAAGTATGTATATACCTACTTGACAATACGCTGCAGTAAATTACGCACGAATCTGGGCAGCGATAATTGCTGCATAATATCTTAACTGAACATTAAGTGTATAATATGGTAAAAAAAAAAATACTTTTTCAGAACCCCCGCGTAGATTTAAGCAATCGACTGTAATCCGTATATTTTGCTTAATTCGACGATGTTCGCCAACGAAGCAAAAATGTTGTAAAGCGAATCGAATAGCATAAAATATAATTCGATATAAAATAACAATATTGTCGTTTAATTGCGTCGAATAAGTACAGTGTATAGCCTTGAGTGGTATCCATCACATTGCTGATATGGTCGTTTTTAATGATATAAAACCATTTACGGCATTTCCTATATACTAATATATATATATATATGCCTATCCGACTACTCTATATATTCAAAGTTGTCCGATAAGTTTATTATATCTTCGTCTGTTCAATATAGATTCAAAGTTTTTTCCCGTATCGGATGATATAGAACATTGTACAGAACAAAATGACAAAAAGCAATGTCTATAAATCGGTTTTAAGTCTAAACCATGAGCTGATTAATGAATTTCAATGACAGAACTAATGTGTTTTCATTGTGTTTGCGCGAACCGTTTCCTGGAACAAGTTTCAGAAAGTCGACAATTATTCTCATCTTACAAATCTCGTTTATTAATTTTGTGCACAAGACATGAAAGATGACATACGCAATAGTTTATAGTTATATAGTTTCAAACGGGGGTAACGAATGTACCTACCTTAATTACGCTAATTCGTACTATTTTTTTTTTATATTGTATTGATTTCTGTTGCGTTTTTGATTGTCAACTCAAAGTTACCTTGGATTACGGCGAAGGCCGAATTCTGCACCGTTGTGATCCAAATATTGCGTATTTTTCATTAACTTGTGTTTCATTAATTAATCACCAATAGTTTTCTTAAAATATAAGACAATTAATATTATTTTATGCTGCTGCTAACGAGATTTTCATGGGTGATTTGATTTGTTTTCCAGGTAAAGCTTGTGGAGTACCAAGAGATGGCAATCCTGATAAAAAAGAAGAAACCGAGCTTTTGTGGACTAACGTCGTAGAATCTCAGTCAGCGTTTCTGGGACCGAATCTATGGGACAACAAAACCATACCATATGACAATGACCTTAAGGTAATTATTTTGTCCATATTGTCATCTATAAATACATATATCGTTTATATTCCACGACCAAACAGTAGTCCTGTAGTTACAGTGGCGAAACGACTCTAATGAAATTTTCGATAAGCCAATTTATCAAATTATGTTTAATGTTTATTCACCCACCGTGATGTTAAAGTCTTAAGAAATCGAGCTCAAACCACCATTCGCAATGTCACTCACCAGTTCGTTTCGTCACCATACGCACCTAGGTATAATATTATAATATTAACGATATATTCAAAAGTAGGAAACAATTAGTAAACTTTGAAATCTTTAAGGTATATAAATATATATATATATATTTATAAGTAACTAGCTGAAAAATCTTAAAAATCAATGCGGAGAAAATTACTATGTTAATAAATAAGTTAATATATTTTTTAAACTTTTTACTATACCTTCAATGGCTTATATCAACTAAATTATTAAATCAAGGAATATGACTTATTTGTTTATATGTAATAAACTTATTATATGTATTATACTGAATTATTAAACAAACAAATAAATTATTAATTAGTTTTGATTAGAGTTATAGATATTATATGTCTAAATATAATTTTAATTTGACTAATTTTTTTCAAATAAACTGGATAAAGCTAAATTAATTGTCTTGTACAAAATCGATTTTTTCCTGTCTAGGTACCTGTAGTTAAGTAAAAGTTAAAAAATAAAATTAATAATAAACACAATATTTGCACTGGGCGGTCTACCGTGATCTCCCGTTTTCTCGTGTTGGTGAATCATGCAAACTGCAGGAAAACACAGTGGACCATCCTGCAGTAGTGTGCACTGTTATTACGCACTATTATTCATATTATTGTAAAAATAATTGCGCCCAAATCTAACCTCGCGATGTGTTCGGTTTCAGTATTGTGACCTCGACGAATTCCTGTCCGAAAACGGATTGCCGGTGGAAGGCGACCACCAGAACGGAACGACCGCGGGCAATGTTAACCCGGGCACCATAGTGGCGGTCGGCCACCAGGGTGGCCCGCTCATGCCGGGCGCCAACAACCGCCTGTCCTCGCCGCCGCCGCCGCCGCCGGCTTCCATACACCCGATACAACACTTGCAGACAAACGGCGTGGCCGGGGTGGGTGTCATACTGACCAAGCGCGAACCGTCTCCGTCGCCCAGCGAACCGCTCAGCCCGATCACCATAAACCCGGCGTCACCAGCAGATTCAAGTGAGTTCTAGAAAATTCATACTTTATCGTTATTATTATTATTATTATCATCATCATAAGGCGAGCGTGCGACGGGACACTGAAAAAAATTAATTATTCTATAAAAAAAATCGATGTACTCGAACCTTTGATACGGTGACAAAACGGCGTTACGATGTACGCCTACCTATATACGTGTTTATCATATTTTGTTCTCGTCGCCATCGCTGATAATAATATTATGATTATATGACTATTAATATATAATACAGTCATTACATATTATATTATTACAACCGTGATCCTGCGTGTACTTATGGTGTGTGTTTCGTTTTTGCAGCATTGTCGTTCGCGTCGTCCAGCAGAGACTTCGACCCGAGGACCAGGCCGTTTTCCGACGAAGAATTGAAGCCGCAGCCAATGGTAAAGAAATCAAGGAAACAGGTGAGAAGGGCCTCGTTAACTTGATTGGTTTATTATTGTCATTACAACGCGAACTTACTCGCGGCTCTAATGACACCCCATATTGACCATAATTTTTCATTAGTTTGTACCGGATGGGCTGAAAGATGAGAAATACTGGGCAAGACGTAGAAAAAACAACATGGCCGCAAAGCGATCGAGGGACGCGAGACGAATGAAAGAGAACCAAATTGCATTGAGAGCAGGGTTTTTAGAAAAAGAGGTATTTAACTCGTACAATGGGACGAATATTATTAAAAAAATACCAATATAAAGCTTATAAACTGCAGTAGGTTTAATAGGGGTGGTACCCATAGGTGTAATTCAAAACGAGATCCGAAGTTTAATATAAAATCTAAACAAAACCGCTTAAACTTACCCGGCCTATTTCAAAGTATTTTTAGGTTTATTTTCAGGTACTTAATAATATTTCCAAGTAGAATAATGTTAACGGTATATGAAAATCACCAAAACACTGTACTGATTTCTTGTCATATTAAAAATCAAGTGACTACAACTAAGTCTGACGGAAATCACAATTATAAAAAAAGATGATTATACAAAGTTCTATTTCATTAATGAATTCATATTAATGACTAATTAATCATGTTACATCACATTATACTTCATATAATAATTTATCATCGATAAATATTAATTTCTTTCCAATCTTGTAATTTAACACCGTACTGTGTACCTATAAAAAAAAGTATTTGAATGATCGAATACCTACATACTTTTTATTCATCATTAGGCTATTTTTAATTTACTCGGTTATTACTTATTACTTAATAGTTACGAGGTCTACTATTAGGGTTTTATTTAAGTAGCCAAACTATAGGTGCACTATAGAAACTGCTAATATAGTCGACTTTAAACCTGTGCAGATTTATCTGAACTTTATTCTTAAATTTCTGGGCTTAGAATCGTATTTATGTGTTCCAATACGTAAACATACGTACATAACCTTTGCTTTTCTAACAAAAAACCAAACAGATTATTAATGCAAAAATAATAAAATACGTATTCTTGTACATTACAGAACATGGGCCTTCGACAAGAGATGGAACGTTTAAAGAAAGAAAATTTAGCACTCCGAGATCGTCTTTCAAAGTTCGAGATCTAAAATATTTCCCGTGGATTTGTATGCACCATAATACCCTTACCCTCTGTGTTTTTGAAAAAAGAAATACCTTACCCAAATTATTGTTACTATTTATCGCACTGTTGACCGTCAGCTCGTTAATAAACAAACACTCACTCTTCCAACGCACCGCGGTGGTCGCCTATAAGGAGTCGTGTATAGAAATGAGTTATATTATAATATTATTACGTTGTAGTTTATAAAAATAAAAATGCATATTACCATATATATGTATACAATAATATATAATAAATATTATTGTTATAACGCAACTGATCTCAATTCCAAATACGAAAGAAATTCCACATTCAAGATCATCAAACAATTTATCGGACCTCAACAGATTCTCAAGAAGAAAACAAATTTATCGATACAACAACACTGGATACAATATAACATAATATAAAACAAAATTAATTTCCCCTAGTTTAAACTTACAATAGCATTTAAGTCGATGTACATGGTTTTTGTTGTTCTGTACATAAAATAGGTCTACAATTATTAAATTATTAATTATATTATTATTATTTTATTATTATTATTATTATTATTATTACTATTTTTATTATTATTATTATTATTATAAATCGTCCTATTTATATGTTTTTATAAAAATGAAATGCGTGTTAACCTGACATATTATATTAATATAGTCTTGATAAGTATAAAAAAATATTATAAACGTAAAAAAAATAATTCATAGGTACAAGATAAGACTTTATATAATGCTAGCTGAGAAAAAAAATAGGATTTAACTTCGTTTTATTCTTATTTTTTTTATCGGTTACATTGGTCATTATAATATATCGAGAATTGACCCTTTTAGATCCAATTAATTTCATAACATTGTTAATATACTGTAGTGGACGATATGATTTCTTTAGTGAAGTTTTGAGGGATCTGTTTTCGTTTTACATCTATATCGTTGCGTGGGGATTTGTTTTATTTATTTATGCTTCCAATATTGTATAACATGTCAATTAATTCATAAGATCATCACAAATTAATTATTAATTGTTTTATTTTAATATGTATAAATTTCTAAAATATAATATATATTATATAATTATCCTTCCTCCTCATTATGATTGACGAGCGTTTTGAATATGTTTAGTTTTACCATTATTATATAATTGTTTGATTAGATACTTATCTTTTTCTTTATTATTATTTTTTAGCAATTAAGTGTTGATTTTTAAAAATGTTTATTTGTAGACATTTAAATGATTATTGACAGCTCGCTTATTGTTTCTTAGGATTATTTAATTAGGCTTTAGAAAATTAAGGTATTTGTTCTAAGGATCATATTTGATATTTTGTGAATAGTTACTTTTTTTATAATACTTTAATAACATAATACCTAATTGTAATTTTGTTTGAGAAAACAAACGTATGGGTCAGGGCTGCTGTAAGATTTTCTTTTTTTTCTTTTTTTTTTATATATATATGAACTTCATATATACATAACATTGTTGTCAAATTATAATTATTTCCAAAAATGTTATTGTTTTGCATGAATATTGAATATACACGAAATGACCATTAGCTTATCATGTTATTGATTTCAATAATATATACCTTCACTATTAGTGTAAAAAAGTATTTCAATTTTTTTCAATCACAAAATCTCAATTGAATTAATTGTGTGCGATGTGTGCGATTGTACCTACTCTATATAATTGGACACTATTGGTTCTATATAGTTGCCACCAATGATGAAAATTTAAAACCAATCATTGCATGGCAACATATTTATATACAAGAATTTACGTATCCTTGACCAGTGGTCGCCAACCTTTCATACTTCATAGACTAACCACTCGATGTTCATAACGCTGAATTCCACGGAAAATGGGCTACGACTAGTAAATATATTTCCGTCGCTGGACGCTGAACCACTCAGTGCCTAGTAGCAAGTCTTCGTTCTTGAGTATAATATAATATTACATATTTACATGTATATTAGCATATTACCATTATTGCGAATTTGGTAAAAAGAACATTTCGCGCACTCTGTATATCACCACGGGCACACACATTATGATAATATCGTAGCCAATAGTTACTCCTTATTATCGCTGCATTTTTGGCTGGCATTAATATAATATTATATCATAATTAGTAATACATTACCGTCTAAGTTACCCACGTATAAAATTCTTAAGTTTCACAAGTACACGAAGATTATTTTTCTAAATCGTACGTGAATATACATGTACTGAAATTTTATTTGGGTAATATACGATTCAAAAAATAATTACTGTTTTACAATGTTTCTATAGGGAAATTATAAGCATCATGGGTGGGTCTCGCGCAATTTGTGATCGTCCGTTTAGCCGACCATCATAACCATACGGCACTGGTTGTAAACTGACAACAATCGAAAAGTCGATAGTTAGGTATAGGATATAGGTAAACAGATTCGTCTATAGGTCTCCAACTTACGGCTCGTCAGTTGTCAAGCTGGCTGATGTTTTGACCTTGACTTCCAAGATTCTAGTTATATAATATTTATGTAGGTATGTGAATTATTTTGAGGAAACCAGTAAAATATTATTTTTCCTTTGTCAAGTCATATCGAAATATAATAATACAATTCGTTCTCTCTTTGTTCAATAATTGAACTTCAATTGTAGTACATTTCTAACCTTCTCCCAAACAGCTGGCCCGCGATACATATTTCAGATTTGATCTGCCGCCGCCGACGTAAAAAAAGTTTGGCGACCCTGCTACATGTAATGTAGACCATCGAAATGTAGTAGACTCCGCCGATTGGTGACCTAGACAATATAACAAGTAGGTCTATACATAATTTGTTAAGTCTATTGCTTAATTGACTAGTTATTATTTACAATATTTAAATATTTTACCTAAACAGACATAGTTAAAAATATTTGTAAATTGTTGAGATTCAATAGATATTGTCGACATTGATATAATTGACTAAACATTTTTTAGAAAGTATTACTATTAACACTTAAATATAGAACTTGTTAGAGTAGCTATGCCTAATCTTTAGATAACAATTGGTCTACCTCCGACTTCCTAACTTCTCCCAGTTATAAATGGTACCTATCCCTCATCTTGTTTTAAAATATTTGTTCTAATTTAATTATGACTATTTTTTCTCGTTGGTATTTTAATACAATAGTTATTTTACACTGTGAATTATGATCTTATAAATAATAATATGTCGTTGTCCGAGTTAGCACAAAACTATCGAACTAGCGTTACGTATAAATATAATAAAGAATATACAATAGGTAGGTATACGCATTCTTAATATAATACTATTATTACATTCGCATTATTTATTTATTGTCGTCACTGATTAAAGGACCTGACACGCGATCAATGTTAACAAAATCCATTTGTTGTGCTTGTACCTATAGTTGTATGGTTGTATAGTTGTATGCAACTTCAACTATGAACTAGGTACCTAATACCATCTAATACCTACCTATAAATATACTAGAGATATGCTACAAAATATGTCAATTGCGTCATATATTTATCTGAATTTTCATCATTGACTGTAGTCTGTAACACACGTCATGTTATATTCGAGGTTATACCAGCACGACATCTAAAGCTCAGTATTAATGTATTATAACTATATTTATGAGCATTTCGCCTAAAGGTTGTCACAAGTTCACAACTAATAGGTACAGTTGGTCGTTTTAAAACGGGCACCGGTTAGGTTATCAACATTCGGCGATAAGAAGACTCGCAGATTATCTCTCTGCAAAAATAAATAAATACATTAATCTGCTGGTACCCATAATTCATAAATGACAATCATAAAGTAATAAAATATTTGGCACCAACTCAACATAAACGACATACCTACTTAAGAGGATGTCTGGGCAATATTTAGTTTCTCTCTCGGGACAACGCGCAACACAGATAAAACGCATTAATATGTATATAAAATCGTTTTTTATGATTTTCGAGTAATCCAAGTTAAAAATCATCTATTACACAAACTACAGAGGATAATATTTTTGAGGTTTGACATGTCGCCATATCGGGCAACAATTTTTTCACAACTCAGATACAATACATTCAGTGTAAGTACTGTATTTATAGCCAATGGTAGTATCCTGCACTACCAGGTAGTAGGCAGTGGTCGAAACGTGGGGGGATACGATGGGATGGCATCCTTCCACTTTTTATAATTCACAGTTTCCATCCCTCCACTTATTTTGGGCCACTTCGTCCACTGATATATGTATAGGTCTTGGGTAAGGTCTGCCTGGATATTTCCCTAATATTAGTACCTAATTATAATGTAAGTATATACCTAGGTAAATTTACTTTCAATTCTTACCTCTCAAAAGTACCGACTAGATCCAATCAGCTATCAGAAACCTAAGTCGAAATTGATGATTAGAGCATTTTTTCTACAAGTAAAAGTATTTACAATTTAAAATGTTGTACATTTAAATAGATATTAAATTGTTTTGAGACAATAATATATCGATTTCATTCCTTTAAAAACTTTATTCTCTACATATAGTATTTTTGGAATAAATGTTCTTACTCTGAGATTAAAAAAACATAAAAGAAAACCGATTTGCGGTGTTGTCTATGACGTATATGCTGTTGGTACTAGGGTCAGATAAACAAAACAAACAGTGCTCTGACATTCGTTTAATATAATATTTAATATTATTTATTTAAGTAAGATTATACATGCCGACTGTACAAATCGGTAATCGGTCAAAATATCCAAATTTGAAAATGTAGAAAAACGTTTTTATAAATAGATACAAACATTTCAAAAGACAAAATTAAATGTAAAATAATTCAATGACGTAAATTAGTAGATAATACTTTATTTTCTAATACAATTGGCTAAATAACTTAATATTTAGTTATAAAATTAACTCGTAACATTATTTCAACCTAAATACGCTGTATTGAGCTTATAGAAAAATAAATAAAGTTGATAGCAATAATAACATCACACTTTTATCATGTGTGTGTGACGTGTGTAAAGTGTACACAGCGGATCCATGAGCTAAACTTGGTGAGCATTGATAATACTTCATAATACATTTTATTTTTTTATCATTATAATTATTATTAATACAGCTTTCGACAAAAATTAATACCTCAACCTAAGGGTGGAATGGGGGGAAATATAGAAATATATAGAAACCTGATTAGTTCCTAGATCCTTTTCTATTGCCATGGTTTTTCAATTGACTATTTAATAACTGTCGGTTAATACATTGTCCCAGTTAAACTGTTTATGAAACTCCAGTTACCCGAAACAGCAGGTTTAACCACAACTTTATTAACTTTTTAATCGTTGGTTAATTACATATCATTTATAGTGATAATTTTAGCTTGTACCGTCACTTTAATACGTTTTATATCAATTTTTTCTTCACAAATCACGATTTAAACACACTTACTATTATATTAACAGACAGTTATTATGGCAATTGAAAACCCGGCCTTTAATGTATCTATATAATCTACTACACTAACAAAATCAACTCTCAAATTCTGTGAACAAATATTTATTTTCTAAAAAAATTTGAATTAGTTTTTATTAGAAAATATAGTGGTATCTAATAAATAATAATCTATTACCTATATGTAATTGAATTATTTACATTTTATAATTTAATTTTTAAATATATTATTTGAGTATACCGAAATTTTAAAATATTTGTGTTAATTTAAAAAAACTAAAATTGGATAGTTTGGTTTGATTTTATTGTCCGTGGTTATTTTGACTTAGATTCGTACAAATAACGTGGAGGTATCTACTCATAAGCAAGCATCCTCGATGAAACGATAAACATGGTACTATGAAATGTTTTTTAGTGGTTCCGTGGGCAGTACAAATATATTATAATAATATCTGCAGTCCAACGCTTCGCTGTGGTGTGAAAACATATAACATACACTTACATTTTTATATCCACATCATTCTCCAATAATCCTCTTTTGCTGCACCCTTGTAAGATGAATGTCAAGAAAATAAGTTCATAATAACTAAGTAAGTACCTATAGGTACTTACAAAAATAAAGGAACTCTTAATATAATAAAAAGCAGTTTATAGTTTTATAGATTGGTGTGAACACTTTGAGGTGGAATTGTCTGCAGTGCTGAAGGAGCTAAGATACAAATTATTCTTATTTTTCAGTCTTTGAATACTCATATAAATATTATGAGTCATACTGTAGTTTTGTAATTTTAATTTTCGAGACCAGTGTTAAAATCAACTATAAAAAACAAAATATAAAAACTAAGTTCCTGTAATATTATTATACAATGTTAAAAATGTACCAATAGATATCAGAGGTAACACTTAATTTGCATAGTATTACTAAAACTGAAAAATAGACCACATTTTATCAACGACATAAGTGGTTTCAGTTTTGATTACTGTGTAAATTGGAAGTGTTATTGAAACTAATTTTCTTATAAACTAAAATGCAATACCGAGTTTTAAATAGAAATAACAGATATCTATAAAAAGGATTAATAAGTTTATGTTTCTGCCTTACATTATGTATGTAGGTTGTAGGTACCTATCTTATATAATTAATTTTGCATGAATAAAACAACAAACTTGTTACAACATCCAACATGTATGCACACAATTGTTCAAGTTTATTTAGTAATTTTAACTTGTAACTATAAAATAATAAATAATACAAGTTTCATGTTTCATGTTTCAATATGTTTTTATATTGTATGATTTAGGGCATAGGTACTAATAAACTGTTATACTGAAATTCAAAACAATGCAAATCTCAATCATATTTGAAACAATTATAAACTAACATATTATTCAGCACTGTATATATTAATACAATTGAATTTTAAAAATTAAAATACTTGACAAATTACCTACCAGCTTTACATTCATACATGAAAAAAGAAATTTTGAGTAAATAATCATAATAACAAACAATATAATAAAATTAACGTATAAATCTATAAAATGTATCACACACGTTCACTATAAGTTCCAGAATCTTCAATATCGGAATCATCAATTTCAAAATTCTACAAATATAATTTTAACATGAACAATTTGTTGGATAGTTTTCAAAATGTACTCACTTCCATGTTTTCAAATTCATTCTTAAGACTGGTTAATCCAGTTAAATCTTCTAAATAGTTAGGATTTGTAAAAACATTGTTTAAAAACTCTTCTTTTTTATTCAAAAAGTCATTAATCACCTGTAAAAAAAAGTAAATCAAAGTAAATTAATTACATAACAGTTATATGTTTAAAACTTACTATTGTCGAACATGCAATACACTGAAAAAAACTTGAAGTAAAGGGTATTATCTGCTGAAAATCAGATATAAATCCTCTTATGGAATGAGGTACAATCCCTAAACAAGATTTAGCATTCGCCAACACATTGGACCTAAACAAACAAATCTCACTTGAGTAACTGTTCAACTATCATTGTTTTAACAAGTATACTTCAATTGAATGTATGACACAAATAACTCGACAGCCAAAGCTCCTGCTATGTTGGAAACACCAGGTCTGGTGACTGTGCATTGCTGATCAAGTGTCCTATCTGCGAGTGACTTCATTTAAATAATTTTTATTATAAACAATAATGAAATACAAAGAAATATAGTAATTTCTAAAAAATAATGATTAATCCTTACATTTCCCGGTGCTGTGACATCATTACAAAAATAGCAGCCTAATTTTTGTTCACCAGTAGAAACATCTGGTACTTTAACTCCATGTCTGATAACTAAATATGATTCAAATCCTAATGCTGCAGTTATGGCAAGCTAGAACATAAATAACAAATTAACTAATTGTAATATTTAAACATAATAAAAAAACTGTAGGTCGTAAATAAATAATTAGGTACCTTATTGTGTAATGTAGATAACATGGTAGGCAACCAACGACTTTCTCGAGAATCCGTCAACAAAAATATAATATCATTATCTTCTATTAATTTTGATAGTAAATCTACATTTTTATGATCATCAATGTTTGCCGCGTGGCCAGGCATTGGAATACTCATAACCACACCAGTACTATTCTAAAAATACCATGTCAATAATAAATTAAACACAATATAAATTCACAATTTCAAATTCCAGTAGTATAAATATCAATGAATGATTATTTAACAACAATAATTGATGTATCAATATTAAATTATTTATTAGTACGTACAATTTCTGGATGTATTTCACGTAATACATCAGCAGCAGCTATTGCTTTGTAAGTATTTGAATTGATGCAATGAGAATGCCTGTATAATGACTGTCTTACTGGATTTGAATACGATACTTTCCCAGAGTCGATAAATGTTATGTTACGAACACCCCATGCCTAAAAAATAGAAATTACAATAATATTAAATTACACAGATATAATTTGATTAAAGATGTGCTATGTGTCATTTTTAAACAAAAAACTAATCAAATGCCATTACTTATTGGATTAGTTTTAGCAGTTTAAAAATAAAAATGTTTGTTATTCATTAATTTGATTTTTGAAGCAATAAAAAATATATAAAACATGTTAATGTCAATGTTGATGATCAACCATTATCAATAACAACTTATTTGAGACAGCAATCATGGAATTTTAGAAGTTATGCATAATATGGTTGAAAGAATTGAAATAGCTAATACATATTTAAAGTATTTACATCAGGGCTCAGCCACATTTTTTTATAACCAACAATGTATACACATTTTTGAAGGGCCGCTAAAAAGTAAATTATTTTATTCTAACAAACATTTTACAAAATTCTACATTCCAATGCTGGTGTCAATAATGTTATTGAGACTGACAATAACATAACTATTAAGTACAAAATATAGATATTATGTTCTTATGGACTTTGTTCATAAATTATAACATTTAATCTTATACACATTATGCTACTATAATATTAGTTCATTTAACAGATTTCGTGAACATTTTAAATATTTGATTTAAAATATATGTATTTACACAAAAGTTATAGAATTTGGAACAATTTAGTCTAAATTTTCTATTGAATCTTAATAGGTATACCATTAAAATCTAAATCTATCTAGTGGATTGAATAATGTTATACAAACCAATAAATTTCTAGCCACACAACAACCAAGTGTGCCAGCCCCAATAATTAGACATTTTGATTGAGCAACAATTTCTAAGTTTAAATCAGGAGCAATGCGCCATTTCATTAACTTAAGATTTAGATCTACAGATTCCTTTGCTTGTCTAAAAATATAATAATAATTAATAAAACACCAAAACAATCTTAGACAGGTTTTTAAATATACTAACTTTGTAGAGTCCATTGTTCTACTGAGGTCTACATATTTTGGACAGAATATTCCTTTAGCATTTTTTTCCCAGCCCACATATTTAATAGCATCTTGTTTAAAAATATTTTCAGCTAAATATCAAACAAATACAAACATGTTAAGAAATTATTTTTTATTTCATAATAATATTACTAAAACTTACAAGATACTTTTATATTAAATAACATGCTCGCTGAAAATGTAGTAGTAGGAGAACCTCTTAATGCTATTACTCTCAAAATTGAAGTTCTCATGGAGGGACTAAAAGTAAAAATTACTATTAATACAATTGTCCCACAAATGCCATCAATTTGATAGCAATTTTGCCACCAAACCTTCATTTTATATCATACAGTGATTTATTTTATTACCAAGAGAAGAAATGGATAGTTTACTATACTCAACTTCTAACTTAGTATAGTGTTGCATTTTTAGTAATTATTACCATTGATTATAAATACTATAGATTGCTCAATGTGGTAAAAAATTTGTTGAGCTCAATTAGAAGAGCCGTCTAGTCAGTTCTGGATAACAACACCAGAACTGCTAGTAAAAGTAGTGCACAGATTTTGTATCGCAGTGAGCAATTTAAAGTATTTATAATCAATGGTATTACAAAGCATTCAAAACAACAAGTGGCCCTGGACAGGCAATCCCCACTGAGTCAACTATCTCCTGCCTGTGTGTAGTAAAGCCAGACCCATTTGCAGTAGTTGGCTACCCAGGTCACTTCTCGTGTTGAATAAGAGTTTATACTCTTAAAATAATATTTATTTATTTTAATTTGTATATATTACCAGTGAAATAAAATTAAATACAGAAGATTTCGTAATGGCCATCCAGGATTATTCAATAAATCTGATGGATCAGCAAATACTAAATAACCAACTGAACCAATTTCTGTATTATTTTTAAAGAAATCAATGTACTCTTTTAAAGTCATAACTGTAAGGTTTCCTTCTTGTGAAGATACAACTCCAAAAAATCCTCTTTGATCAATTTTTAGATTTTTAAATCCAAAAACCAATAAATCAAACTAAAATATAATAATTTGAATGCTAGTATAATATAACAATGGAATAAGACACATTTAATATTATAATATTTACCTGTGTAGGAGAAAATGTATTTTTAAGAAGAGTAGGTACATCGTTTAGACAATACTTTGGCCCGGAAAATGATGGGAAAGCAAACCAATAGTAAAAAATATATCGTTTTAAATCCTAAAATAGTTAATTACATATTAAATTAAGTAACATAATTATTCCAAATAATAACAAAACAACTCACTGTGTACATTAATACATGAAAAGCTGGAATTATGGATGGGTCTTCAATAGCTTTACCAGAACGGAAATCATCTAATAAACGTTCACCAAATTCTTTTAATAACTCATTTTTATCACATATTTTAAATGATTCTATTGTATTTTTATTTAAACAGTAGCCACGAGCAATATATTTAAGAGACGTTTCATCATTAACTTCTCTATAACATAAATAGTAAAAAAAATACATATTGATGATTTAAAAAATTTGATATGAAATACAAAATTCAAATCACATACTGGTTGAAGGATGAACAGTCAAATGACATAAATGGATTATTATTTGAAGTATAGTATCCAATCAATGGTCTATGGACTTCATCTAGTTTATCCACTTCTAACTTTAATTGACAAACTTTGAACCAAAAATTAGGATCAAGACAAGATGATAATGGTTCAAATCGCAATAATATTTCATCATTTTTTACTGAGGTTTTTGAATCTTCATTATTAGTGGTACTTGCTGTTTCTATAAATGTATAATGGAGTAATTTATGCATGGCTATATTTAGTTAACTATCATAATAATTAAAGATATATAATTTACCTGGTAAACTAGCCATTTTGTAAGTTGATTGATACAAATGTTACATATTCACAAATATTTTTTTTCTGAAAAGTAAAATAAAATATACAAACATTAACATATTTTACTACTTACATTTTTACTTTATAGTATTGAAAATTAAATTTTATTACATTCTAATAATATTACAAAAATAAATACAACTTACAAATTATTGTGAATACAAATTTCTTTAAACACTACCAAACATTTACTTAAATACTATGCATAATACCTGTACTCTTCTGTAAATCTTAGAAGCTACTAATCAAAATTTTAAATGCATGATTATGATAATTACATTTATCTAATCTAGTTGTACATATTATTAACAAATTATTTGACAATATTATCAATTAATAGTAAATTATTTGTTATAATAATCAAATTTAGTTCGATTATTTTGGTTAGTTTTTAACTGTCCAATTATTGTTTGAACAATGTATTTGTATATAGAATTATTTCAATTTTATGTACTTTTTAGTAAACGGGATTATTAAAAAATTGACTTGGACAAATTTAAAAGAATGAATTGACGAAGAATACACGATGAATATAATAAGGGTGTATTAAGAAGAATTGAAAATTTTACACTGAAATTACATTTTATACATGTAATTTTTTTCAGATATACCATTGTAAGTAATAATTACCTAATACCTACACAGTATTCAGAAATCGGCCACCCAGTGTACCAAAGTCAATCCAAAGCTACATGTGTACAGCTTAATAAAGTGCCCAGTGAAAACTATATATTAAATTATATTTATACTGTGACTTAAATCCTTAACCTTTTTAACTTTTTAAGTATTAAGCACAAGTGTAGGACTTCTGATCATGTCTGTGTCTACAATAATTGTATTGTAATATTATATTATAATTTATTGTTTTATAAAATCCAATAACCTACCTTGGAAGACTGAAGAATTAAAGAATTTAGAATGAATAATAGACTATTACCTATAAAATGTTCGTGATTCGTAACTCGTGAGAATGAAGATGACATTTCCATAGATTTAGCTATGCAAGTACGCCACCGTTCCACCATAGATTATAAGGAACATAGGCTTTTATACTTAAACAAAAGGCATAAAATAGAATATATAATTTACGTATTACCATAGAACAATTAGGTAGGTATATGTAACGTATATTCGTATAGCACGGACTAAGATAGTAAGATATTAAATTTAACAGGCAAGTCATGTCTGTGATTACTGATCCATGATTGTGAAGATAGCAGCTCTCGAATAGGTATACCACGACTGATAAGAGATTGATTGATATTTGATACCAATAATATTTGAATATGATCCATAGATATTAATTATTAATGTAATAGTGCAATATTATTTATTACATACACAGCAGCTGGTATATAGAATAAATATTTTTTTTATTATTCTATATACCTGTGATTATATATATATATGTTAAAGCTGATCCCGTGCATTTTGTTGTCCATTAAAAATGCCAACTCTAAATGAGACTCGATGGTGATAATGCTAGCTGTATATTGTGCCTACCTGCTGTGTATTATTGAAATAATATGTTTTATATTTATTTTGATTGCGGACACGCCGATGAGCGGCTATAAATGCAACTCAGCCACCTTGGCAGGCAATGTGCGAAAAGTTCAATTATATGCATGCTTATATACCTGATCTGCCCGATGAACCACTGCAGGCAACCATTAAACATAAAAAAATAACCATTTCTACATCATTTTCGTACAACGGTTCTATATTTATATTCATCCCATAACCAATAACAATCGTATATATAAACAAATATTTTCTTCGTCAACTTAAAACACAGATATATAGAATATATATATATATATATCTGTGACTTAAAATCTTTGTTTGAGTAACTCCCTGGGTCGGACTTACCCGGTCCAATTGTGAATCTAAAGCCGTCCAGGATTGTGTCTTGTTAGATTATTAAAATAAAATAAAATTGTACTCCCGTAGTTTTTCTGGTAACGCCAACAACGGATAATGGAAAATGAAGTCGTAATAATCGAATCATATTTTATTTTCATATAGATAAAACCGACATTTTATATTTTTATCTCTTCTATAGACTATTACGTTCTATGTTAAGAGAGGGTATTTAAGATTATAAATAAAATCGAAAGGAATAAAAACGATACGAAAATTATCACTTTACAAAATTTAAACTTAACTTTATATAGTGAAACATAATATTAATACTTAATATTCAATACATGACATATTTCTCCACGTTGATCCATTTTTTCGGTGTTGGCCGGGAGCCCCATTTTAACGATTAATTATGTCATATGGACAATTTTATAAGCTGTAGCGTGCTGTAGCTGTCAATTCAAAAAAACATTCCGGAACTCAAAAATTAAATCATCAAAACATTTTTAAAAAAAAGGGTTTTTCCAAAATGTTTTCGTAAAAACCTTCTTCTGACCATTACGAACAATTAAAAAAAATTTGAGCCAAATCGGTCCAGCCGTTCTTAATTAATGAATTTTTATACATTTTTGGCTCCATATTTATGTATATAGATTTATGATAACTAATGATTTTCTTTTAGTGTATATTAAAGAGGCAAAGATGAAAGAGCCTTAATTAAGGTTATTATTATTTATTAAGGTTCTCTAGTGTACCTATACCATTTAGAACAATATAGAAGCGACACTCGATCAGCTGTTTTGGTTTTTGTTTACCTGAGATGAGATCCACGAATTAAGATATCTTAATTCGTGATGAGATCTGAAGTCTGAACCATAGAAACGAGGTTAGGTTATTATTTTTTTCATACCTTTGCTGGGTACATAACACGAACTAAGATATCTTAGTTCGTGGTACATATAACATAGGGACAATTGACTGTTTACTAACTTTGCTGAACTCAATAACGAATTACCATAGGCAATTTAAGTTTTCACCAAATATTTATAGGTACTATGTTTTTGTACAAGTCATGCAATTTTAAAAATATGTTGAAGTTTTTTCAGCTATTTATTGGAATGAGGAACTTTTTATTTATTTTCATTTATTAGGTATCAATAATTTTTTGCTCAGTCAATACACTTAAAAAGTTAATTCAATATTTCTCGTAAGTATTTTATCTATAATAATGACAAAAATGTTCATGGGAAAGTTTAACATACATTTTTTGTGAGCGTTCGAAATTAAATTTATTCCACATTGAAATTGTAAATTAACTATACGTATATTGTTATCCTCAATAATTTGACATATTTTATTGTAGGTAATTTAAAAAACAATAACCGTATAGGTACTTGAAATTGTTCAACAAATTTTTATTTTACAATTTTCTATACACTATACAATTTTCAAAATATGTTGACTTTTTTGAGTTATCTATTTGAAAACATTTAAATAAAAGAACCAAATGTTTATTTAAATTTTATATACTTATAACTTATAAGCAGTGCTGGAGAGTTGCAGCATTTGCTAATTATTATTTATTTTTGGCTCTAGCAGATAGTGCCACAGAAACTCATGTCAACATTATGTTACAATTATCTCAAATATTAAATTTGAAAATTCTGTTTTTTTTTTTTGTACTTGTATTATTTTAAAAATGAGGGAAATATTTTATTCCTATGTTTTAAATTTATTGACCAGTTGTCCAGAACACACTATTATTACCATGTATTGCGACAAAGTTGCTCACAAAACTCATATGACATATTTTAATACGTGACTCGCGCTGTAAATATTATCACATTTTCTTATACTTATATAGTTCGGGCATAGTAAAGTCATGTGTGAGGAACTGGGGTGGAGAATATTGGGAATAATAATTTGGGCAGATTCTGAAGCTGATGGAACATGACCGGGGACAACTTTGGAGCAGAAGTTGTCGAACCAAACATCATTTTCATAGCATTTATGAGGGTTAATACAATTGTTGTAGCTCTTGGCAGTGGTCCAGAGGTGTTGTATTGAATGAGAAGGGTTTCGACTTGAACAAAAATCTTTCCAGTTTTTCCTCTTTTCGCTTTTGAGTAGACACTAGACGGGTGGTGAAAGCGCATGCGTTACGATATTTAAAGAAGTCAGACATGGACCCTGAGCGTCGGAAGTTTCTAAAAAATCGTGTTCTACTATTTACGGCTTCGGTACTGGAGGAATTCCACCAAGGGGGGAGGGAGGGTATAAATTGGTATTAGGTCTTTTTCTAGGGATTGTGGATTCAGCAGAATTATTAATGGTATTGGTGAGAGAAGAATAAGAAAGAATTGAAGAGTTGTTATTGGTCAGAGAAGCTAAGTATCATTATCATTATCTATGTACCTTACCTATAATATATATATATATATTATATACCTATTACCAAGGCTGGTCAAACTAACGATTTTTTTTTACTCGATTAGTTAAATTATTTTAAAATAATAAAGTTAAGTTAAGTTAAAAGTTACTCATATGTTTTCGTTAACTCGTTAAGATAAACGTTAATTTAAAAAAAATAACTTTTAAGTTTTTACCAAAACAATAGTCAATTTTTTATTTATATAACACAACATTTTTTTTATTAATATATGAATACTTTTTTTTTTTTTAAATTATTTTCATTATACTATACTACCTGTATTCTTAAAACAGTTATAACATAAAATTTTTATTTTTTTATTAATACATGAATACTTTCAATTTTTCGACATTATTATGATTATTATTGTATTATACCAATACTTTTATTTTTTATTATTTATTTTTTTTAAGACAAATATTAATATAAGTACGACAATTGATACTAGAAAATACGTAATATTGTGATGTTTAAATACTATACATGGACAATGGACATAAAGTATATAATACATATATGTAATATATACATTATTGTATGGCCGCAATTCGTACGTATCTCTCATAAACCCGGGCCGCAACTCGTACGCTATTTAGGAATTGGGCCGCAACTCACCAACACCGATTATAAGTTATAACCACGGACTAAGTCTTCTAAGTCTACTAAGCCACTTAGTCCGTGGTTATAACTTACATATTTAATATCCTTACGATGGCCCTTTCGAAGGTCTATTATGTGGCCTTGAGCCCTTAAGGCCTTAAGGCTCAAATCGATGTTCAACGCGGACTAAGATAGATTAGTTTCTATAAAGATATTAAATAATATCTTCTATAGATAGTTCAGCTTCGTGCTAACCTGCAATACGTTTACTAACAGCACGGACTAAGTACATCTTAGTCCGTGGCTAACAGTAATTCTATCTTAGTCCGTGATGTTTACAAATCAGTCTGGGGTGATATGCTCTGTTATGATAACGGCCGATAAGCTCGTTTAATTGTCGTGATAAAAATTGTCAAACAGTACGCACGATTTGTCCCGGTCGACGGCGGTACGCGTTAACGTGTTGACTTAGTGTTATATTCATTAACTATTTTAGTTATAGATTGTTATGTTGTATTCTTTCTGCTCAGCCAAATAATTTATTAATCACCACAATTACAATAATAAGTAATTGTTACCTAATCTTGTTCGGCCCGTTATGGTAATCTTGTGAATCCTTTGGACATCCGACAACACCATGCACAACAACAAGATGAATGATAAAATATCGTTTTCGTTCAACTCCGGTGGACGATCGTCGTCGTCCCGATCAGTCGCTATACCTCCACCTGCAAATAGTGGACTCAGTAAACAAGGCTACTCCACTTTGAACGCCATAAACCATTCGGCAATCTCCAACACTTGGGGTGTGCCAAAGAAACGAGCAAAAACTGAAGAAGAGTAAGCGAAGTTCACACACTCTCCTACTGATAGTTTTGGTATCATTTTGCCTGACTCTGAACTCTTATGTTGTTTAAGGTATTTTGAAGATGAAGATGAACAGCAACAGCCACAACTCGAGTACATTCCTGCGCCCGATAGTCCATCTAATAAAAAATCTGACTGCGAATCTGATTCATCTGAAGACCCATTAGATGCTTTCATGGAAGGATTAGAAAAAGAAGTATGTTACGCAAATTTTTTGGAATTGAGTATATAGAAAAATTTGTAGGTAATTCAGGTCTGATTTCCTGTCCAGAATAATAAAAAAAATAATTAATTTTCTAAGGTAAAAAAAGCAAAAACTTCTAACAAAAAAGAAAAAAAGGAAGATGAAAAAGGTATTAGACAAGACATCGAAGAAGAGGACATTGAAGAATCATACTACAGGTGTGGAAAATATCTTACACTTTATTCTAATATCTAGCATTGCTCAAATAACTAAATAATAACTTATTTTCAATCATGCTGTTAGGTATATGGAAGAAAATCCAACAGCAGGTCTTGTTGATGAAACTTCAGACATAGAAATTGATTATGACGAAGATGGTAATCCTATAGCACCGCCAAAGAAAAAAGTTGGTACCAAATAAGTGATTCAATTTCCAAAATTATCATAGTTAAAATCATATCTACTTTACCTAAACCTTTTTACTTAATATATAAATATATATTTATGGTTAAATTTTCAATATATCAAAACAAATATTGCAATCATTAGTTTTTGAACTGTTAACTACTATATTTTAAAATAAATGATAAGTAGCGTAAAAACTATTGGTTTTTATAGTGATATAAAGTATATATTTTTAGTACAGTAAGATATAAGTTAAAGCTTAACATTTTTACTAATTATAGGAATAAATCATTTACTGTAATAAAATGCATTAGTTATTCAAGCGTGTTTTGCTTGTTGCTAAGCTCTTACTCTTATCATAGCTCAATTATTGAAAATATCTAATTTATTCAATTTTAACTCTTACTCTCTAACTTAAAAATTAAAAATTGTTTATCCTTACTTAGTTTTCACATCCTCGTTTGCTGTAAAGCCTTTGCTACATTTAAATTGTTATTAACTAAAGAGCTAATAATTTTCGCTTAATTTTGATTCATAACTTAAAGAAATAAATGCCACTGATAATTTTGATTTATAATAAAATCTATTTACTTATTTTAAAAATATTTAAACATATTCATATGTATTTAGTATTCATTATATATTCTAATATGCTTCTATTTTTTTTCCCATAGGAAATAGACCCTTTACCTCCCATTGATCATTCATTAATCAAATACGAAAGCTTTGAAAAGAACTTTTACACTCCACACAATGAAATATCATCTTTAACTGTGGATAAAGTTATTCAACTACGTAAGACTCTTGGTCTCCGAGTAAATGGGGCCGATTTACCTTATCCAGTCACATCATTTGCTCATTTTAATTTTGATGATGCCCTTATGAAAATTATTCGCAAGTCTGACTATGTACAACCTACACCAATTCAAAGTCAAGCAGTTCCTGCTGCGCTTGCTGGGCGTGATATCATTGGTAAATTTAAGATATTTTATAAGAACTTTTTTTAAATTAATATTTTTAACTTATTATAAACATCTATAGGTATTGCCAAAACTGGAAGTGGTAAAACTTTAGCATTCATTTGGCCAATGTTAGTACACATAATGGATCAACCAGAACTGAAAGAAGGCGATGGGCCAGTTGGTTTGATATTGGCACCTACCAGAGAATTGTCTCAACAAGTATAAATCAATAATAAAAAATAAATTGTTAAAAATCATTAATTCTAAATGTGTTTTGTTGTCTAGATCTATGTAGAAGCAAAAAAATTTGGAAAAATCTATAACCTGAGAGTAGTGTGTTGTTATGGCGGAGGTTCAAAGTGGGAACAATCCAAAGCACTTGAAGGAGGTGCTGAAATTATAGTAGGTACTCCTGGCAGAGTAATCGATTTAGTAAAAATGTCTGCAACCAACTTAACTCGAGTAACATTCTTAGTACTAGATGAAGCTGATAGAATGTTCAATATGGGTTTTGGTAAATATTAATGTGATTTTTTATCAAGTATTTATGTGACATTTTTTAAGCAACGTGTTTGTTAATGTCTAGAACCTCAGGTGCGTTCCATTTGTGACCACGTGAGACCTGATCGCCAAACATTGTTGTTTTCTGCCACATTTAAAAAGAAAATTGAAAAGTTGGCACGCGACATTCTTACTGACCCTATAAGAATTGTTCAAGGGGATGTTGGTGAAGCAAACACTGATGTAACACAAGTTATGTTGGTCATGCCACAGAGTGACAAGTGCCAATGGTTGTTGGATAATATAGTTCAATTTACATCAACTGGATCTATTCTCGTATTCGTTACTAAAAAAGTATGTTCAATTTTGATATGAAATAAATAAATAAATGAAAAATATAATATATTTGGATAACTTATAGTTGGACGCAGAACAACTAGCCAGTACGTTAGCTCTAAAAGAGTATGAAGTGTTGCTGTTACATGGTGACATGGACCAGGCCGAGAGGAACAAAGTAATAACGAAATTCAAAAAACAAGAAGTCAACATAATGGTAGCTACAGATGTTGCTGGTAAGATCATATATTTTTATAATAATACATTTAAAATACAAATTAATTAAGAAACCAGATTTGTCCCAAATGAAAGAAATTATCTTGGAACAGATTTCTCTTGATTTCTACAATTTGCACTATTATGACTGTTTCAAATGCGACAATGTCCATATGACTAATATATTTTTATTGTTTTTCTTAATTTATGTAGCTAGAGGTCTAGATATAGCTCATATCAGAACAGTTGTGAATTATGACATAGCTAGAGATATTGACACACATACACATCGTATTGGAAGAACTGGTAAGATATTTATCATTTGTTTGCTTAACAGATTTATTTTGTATATAAAATGTTATTTTCAGGTCGAGCGGGAGAAAAAGGTACAGCATTTACTCTAGTCACACCAAAAGATCACGAATTTGCCGGTCACTTAGTTCGAAGTCTTGAAGGTGTGGGGCAGGAGGTTCCCAAACCACTTATAGATCTTGCCATGCAGGTAAAAAGCCATCATTGAACTTAATTGAAACTATTATTCAACCATGTATTATTCTAGAGCTCTTGGTTCAGAAAAAGTCGTTTCAAAGGCGGAAAGGGTAAATCAGTAACTGCCGGGGGCGCAGGACTGGGATATAGAGATCCGTCAGGTTCCAATAATTTTTCGGTTAGTAGTGTTCTATTTCAACAAGTTAATGCCACTGATATTGAAACATAATGAATTTTATATTGTAGGCATCGAGTTCGTATCAGTGTCCAAAACCTGCAGCTACAGTACCCCCAGCGTCAAAAGGGGGTCCCGGAGCAGGAAGACTGTTGGCACTAAAAGAAGCATTTAAAATGCAATACCAAAACCAAGTAATAAAATATTTATACTGCTTTATTGTCGTTCATGTATTCAATTGTATTACTATGATTACAGTTTAAAGCCAGTGAAGATCACACTTGGGAACAAACAGTTGGATCAAGTTCATCTGTAAAAGTGCATACGGGTCCATTAAAAGAAAGAAAAGCTAAAAAAAACAGATGGGATAACTGAAAAGTTTATTTATAAGTGACCATAATTTGATTTTGTTTGATCTTAAACCTATTTAACTATTTAAATCATAAGACCTTATAATGACTTAAGTAGTTATCTAATTAATAAAAAATGTTCACACATTTTTCAACTGCAAAATTTAATTTATTTTATCAAAAAATTCAAAATCCGTTCATTAATGATATATTTTGTGTATACACATAACTTTTACAACCTGTCATGTTGTCATCAGAGCTGGCTTTAGGCAAGGGCCAGTGGGTACCGCATAAAGAAATAACCCCAGAAATTAAGTCCCCACCAACATCCCATGTGTGATTGTGCTAGGGTTTTCTTTTGGGGACTAGATTTCCAACATCATTCATTAAGAAAATCGGGCCTCGTGCATTTGTTTGACATTTGGGGCCTCACTATTAAAAAATGATATTCTAAGGCCTTGCCATTAACAAATTGTCCCAGGCCTATTGCTCTACCTTAAGGCTGGCTCTGAGTCATGTCTAGTATTCTCAATTTGTAAACTCACTGTTATTCCAATCTATATTATGTAAAAAATGAATAAAATTAATCAATGCTTATAACTGTAACTGTTATAAGATTTTGCAAACAATAAATTAGTAACATTCTCATCACACGTATAAGACATAATTTATTATTTGTAACACATTTTAAAATGGAGTAGTTATTAATTGTTAATTAATCATTAATAATGATTCATTATAGTATGATCAACAAAAAGTGAGCCCTGATTATGATTTACTTACGGTTTTTACAATATTCAGAGGTCTACGTTTGTGAGTACTGAGCACATATTGAACTATGTCCCACAGAGAGACCGCTACTCCCCTGTGCATTCAAGTGACATTTCAAAGTCTAATTTCTCTCACCATGCAGTTGCCCATTATGCGCGAATTATTAGTTGTTTTGGTTGCTACCTAATTGCGCTCTCTTGTTGGACGGACTAGGATCATCTTACAACTTACACGCATTTTAATTACCATATAATAATGTTAATCAAATTCTGAGAACACCATAAAAACTTATGATAGATAATTTATTTTACTCTGTAAAACAATTGGAGTAACTTCAATAACAAAAATTGATAGGTACACGAATATCACGGTTCACTTTTTGCTGGCCGTAATACAGTACTGATTTTGCATTAGGTATATAAACTAATAACAAAAATAAATTATTTCAATATTGAATGTTCAATTTATTTAGTAAATATGTAGTTAGTTTTACTTTTGTACAAATTTAAATATTTTTGTATTGTTTTATTTTGTCTTTTAAGACTAAATTATTATTCTCATTAATGCTCTAAAATTCAAATGAAATAATTTAGTATTCATTTTGTTGTATGCTATTGAAATCTGTATAGTAAATATATTTGATTGTAACTATAACAATGTTTATTTATTTTTAATAATATATCTTGTAATACTTCAAGCTATATTAGTATTAAAAAGGTAATTTAATCACTAGTGTTCTTCATAACACTGAAAGTTATATTCAAAAATTTAATATTTTGTTTGATTAAATAAATCATCTGGATTTGACATGCAGTTACCAATTACATAAAAAAAACAAAGACCGGAAACAAATTATAAAAAGAAGTATATGTTTAATACAAAATTGTGATTAACTTAAAACATGAGTTTTGTATATAAAAAATAAAATAAAACAAAAAACAAATGGTTCACTATCATTGTGAAAAATACTTATAAATAGTAAATAGAATAAATAATACAAAGATAAATCTAGATTTAAAAACAGTTATCTAAATAATAATAATAAATAATAATTATAAAAACAAATTTTTAATTACTGTTAAATTGTATATTAGGGTTGAAGCAAACTTTTTTTTGATTTTCCTCTGGTTCATCTAAATTTTCCAACATGGAAGAAGTAAAACTGAACTCTGATTCATCACTGCAATTTGGATTTTTATTAAATTTATGTTTTTTTTAAATATTACAAAAAAATGTACAAACTATTTAGGTACTTAAAATTTACTTTTTTGCAAAAACACTTACTTTGTGTCCTGTGTGCCTAAGGTGTCTAAAGTATCATTTGAAGCGCTTGAGTTTCTAATAATTTTAGATGGATCTAACTGAAAGATACTACATGTACCTTGGAAATCATTAGTGTTTGTCAAACAAATATCGCTACCTCCTAAAAAAACAGAATGTAATCAATGATATTGAAATCTATATTCTAGGATTCAGATGTAATTAATTAAAAAACTAATGTATTATTTACTTAAGAGTTTAGGACAGTTTATGGTCAAAACTGCTTTATCTTTGGGCTGTTTAGTAGATGTGATGCTCCATGTGTCTTCATCCACACAACATGACTGGGTAATTTTTATAACCGAAATTTCGGATTCAGATACAATTATTAAAAATGGCTTTTTGAAAGCTAAACAAAAACAAATTATTAAAAGTGAATTAAATGATCGGTATTAAATTTCTGGATTATACATACCAAAACTTTTTGGACTGTATGGCCACTTCATTTCACCACCCCGTGTTTTCTTGCCATCGGAGTCTACAAACACTCCATACACATTGTAACATAAAAGATATTCTTTATTTCTAGTCAATTCACACACAAACATTGGTCGATAATCATGTGACTTAGCTACTGAATCCGTAAAAAATCCTGAAAAACAATATGTTTAATAATCGAACCACTGGCTCAATTTGAAATTGCTTACTTTTACAACTAAAATTTTCTGTTTCAATTTTGTAAAAGCTGTTGGTTGTAAATATAATTCCATTGGGCATAAAGCAAATGCAATTAGTTGGGACATTGGTTTTCAATATTTTAGTTACAACAAACTGCGTATCAAGCCATTTTAAAACCCTTGGGAAATTAAAAAAATTACAATATAAATGGTTACATTATATTATATTATATTACATTAATCATTTTATTACTTACGTAACACTATGTTCAGATCCTATAACTACCAACTCATTACAACGGGAAACTGCAATACAGTTAATTTCTTTCAATTCAGACATAGTTGTATTGTTTTTAGATGGTTGACTATTGCGTATTTCATCTACAATACGAACTACTTCAATAACTGGTTTGGACATATGACTTAATTCCGAATTTAGGACAACAGTTCTCATATTACATTTTAGCAGTTCTTTAGTGGTTCCTAAAATACAGATAAATATAATATAAATACATACAACAAATAAAAAAGAATAAAAAAAAAATGCTTTACAAGCACATACCAGCAATCATTAAAACCAATTGAAGTTTTGGCAAGAATACAAAGTCATTGACTAATTTTGGTCCAACTATAGGGACGAGATCGTGTTTAACATGTTCGTTCTCAGATTTTATATGGACTGAAAATAATCCTTCAACAGCACCTAATAAGAATACCTATAGAATCCATATAATAAAAATATGATAAATATAAATACATATAATGCACAAGAGTATCACTAGAGTATAGACTTACACTTTGTGATATTTGATGAATGCAGTTAACATTAAGTAATTTATCCTTATGGAAGGTGTATATAATATCTTTGTAATCATGATTTTGTTGTGATTGTGCGGCACATTCACAATTATCCAAGAACTCTTTAATGATACTCAACCAATTCCGTTTTTCAGACAAGCTAGACACGATTATGTACAAAAAAAGGGTCATCCAACCAGTGTTTAAGTTGTACACTTCAATTTTAAACATCTGATCATAATCTTCATTAGAGTTTTTGTCAAATGTTGAATCATTTGATTCTGCCACATCAACAACTTTAACAATATTTGATGACATCATCAATGGCAGAGTATAAAATGGTTGTGTATCATATTTATCGTTGAGAATAAGAAGTACCCCTTGTTCAAATTTAGCATATTTTCGATCCCAAATCTGTTTTGTATTGCTAGAAAAAAAAATAAAAAAAAATGGTTACTCAGAGAAGTAATAAATATATTTCCAAAACAAATTTAAAACTACTTTAATGATCAATGATGTCCAGAATTCTTTTAGCAGGCTTGATAAAAAAAATATTATGGTTAAATAATCTAGCATAACTGTGGTAATTACATTCAAATTCTTTAATTACCCATGATTAACTTTTTATTTTTAATAAGTAGATATGTATTTCAAATTTCAATATATAAACACAATCACTTCAATTAATTTGTTACAACAACATGTTGTTTTGGCAATAATCTTGGATGTTAATCTAATCATGATTATTCAAACATAGAATTTTGATTTTTGATTTATGTGCACAAGTAAAAATAAAAAATGAACAATATTATTATAAAACTCATCAAATACAAGATGAATAGCTTAAAAATTCAAAAATATATTTTTACTTCTTGAAAAAATGAGTATACAATACACATATTATTATCTATTGTTAAATTTTAATTTTTTTACCCATATGCTTGTTAATGACATCACTTTGATGGTTTAATTTAAAACTGAAAAGTTGATTGTCGTTTTAGTAATTAACTTAAGAATGAAAAAATATGAAAGTAAATTGTAAAATTTTAGAAATGCATGTACTTCTGTTACGTGCCAACTGGTAGCTATGGTCAAAGGTGACTGTACTAGACAGTTAAGGGTGTCATATTAAATTTGCAATAGTATTAGGTATTATCTAGGCACTATTTCCTTTCGGTGATTATTCAAGTCCACATTTTCCCCCTTGGATATGTGTGACTTAGATTTATTTACTTTATTGAATATCAGGTTTATGAGCAATATACTCTTTACACTGCTCTTAGTGTGTTTGTGTTGTTAATTGCCATACCTACTTTAGATGTGTGTTGTATGTGGTTTACAACTCTTATTTATAAATAAGTAAAACTTTGGATTCTTCAAAAAACAAGTGCTTAGTATTAAAATAATTTATATAAATATTAAATTTAATAGAAAAAAAAAAATGGTTTTAAATTCTAAAATAAATAGTTTGGAAATATAAAAACAATTAAGCACTTACTCCCAAATAGTAACCCATGATTCAATCTCAGACTTTTTCTCATTATCGTTTAGAATGGGCGTAGTTGTTTGTTCTTCTTTTTTTATAGGAGTGCAATCAGGTAATAACTCATGTGAACATGTCACATGTGTAGAAACCCTACATTCTTGACATTGACTAATTTGTTGCCTACTTACAATTTCAGTTTTACAGTGTGAGCATTGTAATCCATCACGTTTGCATATCTTTACTTCAAACCTAAATTTATATTATAAAATAATAAATATTATTAACATATTGTGGTTTTAAGCAATTATGAAAAATTGAACTTGCTTATGAAATGACTGAAAATTAGATAATGTGTTAGAAGTTATTTTTTTATATGCAGGCGAATTAGCTTCAAAATTAAGACAAATTGGCACTAAAGGTGTTGTTGGACCTTGTGTTTTCATCATGTTCAATTCAGCTTGAGTTTGATAAAGTTTATTTGCTAGATCTTTAGATTTACTTCTTTCAGAATTCAATAGAGATTCAATTTCCTAAATAAATTTGTAATGCATTAAGAAAATAATAACCGAGGATGAAGAGAGAAATAATAATTTTACTTTTTGATCAATATTTTCTTTGTTTTTACCACTGAACAACATATCACCCAAAGTTCTCTTCTTTTTAGTCACTTCATCAAACTTTTTTTGTAGAAAATCAATAAGCTTTGTTTGCTGGAGAATGGTAGCATCTGCTTTTATTAAACGTTCTTCGTAATAAACTTTTTGTTCCATCAAACCATTCTTATATTTTGAAATTACATTCTGCATAACCTAATATATGAGAATACAAATTGTAAGTTCATTTGATAAATAAAATTAGTATACATAATATGGTAATTAATAAATTATCATAGATGAACTTGATATTTAAACTCACATTTGAATCTTCAACCATTGCTTCCAACTGAGCAGTTAATCGAACGTTGGCTTCTTTCAAAAGCTGTTTTTGACTAATAGTTTCAGATATTTCAGCCTTCATTTTATTCAACTCCTTTATGACCTTTTCCGATTCAATTTGTAATGTATAGAACATTGTACT